ATTGTGGAGAAACACTTCACATCATTGTTACTAGGGATGACTAATCTGATAAATCCCTTAGCTAACACCAGCTGCCCATATTCTAAATATACCTGCCAAGCAACCCTTCCCAGGCCTAACACAAACACGCCACAGCTGAGAGGGATTAGGTCTGTCAAAGTTCACCAAGCTCTAAAGTTCATTCAGTTCTCTGCCTCAACAAGTGGCTGGACCATAAGGTGACTCAACGTTCTGGAGCACACCTGTTGGCAGTGGCTGAGATCTCCTCATATAAAACAATACTCCCTCCAGATTTCTGTATTGGTCCAATAATGGGGGCTTGGTAAAGTTGCTCAAATAGCACCTGCTAAGATTCAAACATTGAGAAGCCATCATTAGCACTAAATCAAATCCTTTCTTCACTCCTACCAGAAAAGGTCTTAGTCACTGAGACTTAACAACTGTTATTTAACAAGTGTGCCAAATGTCTACATAAAGAATATGTCTAGTATGACAACTTTTCAAATACAGGAAGACATGTATCCTATACCTAGGTGATCACATAATCTACTCTCTTCTCTGTAGGACATCCTACAACCCACATATATTTTGCATCTGTCTTTCTTGTCAGTCTAGATGGAGTTATTTTACAATATGAAAGCATTTAATCTGATAGCAAGTTAAGTGATACAAACTCTAGATTTTATAGAAACTTGCCTACTTCCTTTCCTGTCATGTTTCGTTTTGTCAGAGGTTTAACTATGGGGCTCTTCTCACATGCTTTTTTGCAATCTTAAACACAGAGATAACTAAATAAGTGAGGTAGTAAATATCATAAATAGCATCCCTCCTATGGACACTCTGTCATAAGTCAATATTTACACTGCTCTGTGTCTATTTAAACTCTGTCTATAACCAACTCTAGTTGATTCCCCCACCTTTGCTTCTCTTAGTGTTCAGTCTCTTCCATTCAGGTCTATTTGCCCTGTAGATGAAGGTTGGGTAGCAGATGTCTCTTGATGGGAGATGTTTCCATCTCTTCATCACAAAGCTGCCTTGCAAAAAAAAAATGGTAATGCAGGCAAGAACAACAGAAACAGGAAAACCCTTTTAACTTTCGAGAAAGGATAGTATATCTGTGCTGTTACTAACAACTGATCATTTTATAAACTGCAGAACTTTAAATTTATCTAACCTTGGGTGGGTAAGTAACACTTTTACAAAGAACATGAAGTGACTGAGTGGCAGTCACACAAACTGGAAAAGGCTGAAATAATGATCACTTACAAACGCACAGATCTGAGTTCTGAACACTCTGGGGTTTTGTTAGGAATTTCATCCTCACATATGATTCTACAAGATGCTAATTCCAAAAAGCAGAATTCTAACCTCATCTGAAATACTTGGATTATAATCCCAGGTCAGACCACAATATTTCAAATAGTTCTAGCTTCCACTATGTATAGCACCTTCACCTGACATCCTGCCAAGAACAGAAAGACTGATTCCACTTTACAGATAAGTTCCTGAAGCTTGGTAACTTGTGATCTGACAAAACTCACACAGCGCCAAGTGTAGTGAAACTAAGAAATAAATCAGGGCCAGTGTTACAGGCTGAACTTCCACCTGTGGTGCCAGCATTCCATATGGGCATCACTTTGAGTCCTGACTGCTCCAAATCCAACCCAGCTGCCTGCTAATGTGACTGGGAAAGAAGAGGAGTCCTTGCTCCCATGTACCCTCGTGGGAGATCTGGAAGAAGGTCCTGACCTCAAACTTGAGACTGGCTCAGCTCCAATTATTGCTGCCATTTGGCAAATGAACCAGCAGATGGAAGACTCTCTGTTTCACCTTCTCTCTGTACTCTGCCTTTCAAATATAGATAAGTAAATTTAAATTTAAAAAAACAGGAACTAAATCAATGATTGAGTCAGTATATACGTTTTTAGTGTTTATCATAGTACCTTCACTCTGAACTCTACTATTACGAAAGTAAATTCTGCACAAATTTGCACTCAGTTTTAGCAAGTAACATGGACAGAAGTAATATCTGAGTCAAAAAAGCTAAAACAAAACTACATGAGTCCTGTGAGACATGTCGCCCAGGTAACGCCCAGCAACCAACCAACCATAGCCTTGGGTTCAATGACCTTTGATAAAGAACTCTTTATATGCAGCTAATTATGCACAAATCCTGCAAGGCTGTCTTAACATCAGATAATAGCCACCCCTCCTTCTGTTCCTTCCTGTGAAACCCTGATTCCAGATACTGATTTAAGTTGAGTATATGAATCTCCAAAATAGTAGGTCTCAGGACAGTACCCAATGTTCCACTATTTCTGGATAGAGGCATGAAAATCTATTTTTTAAACAGCAGCATTTATGTTTTCTTCCTCATTTTATAGAAAAAAAAATCCTGGAGTTGGTGGCGGGAATATAAAAGGAGAATTACCCTTCTGAAATTTTCTGGACAATCCTGAAGCTCTCAGCACTTATTCTGGAATTAATTACATGAAAAATCATGAACCTTTCTTAGGCAACTAAGTACAGAACAATTTTCTAATCTCTGCTTTGCCATTTTCTTTAGATTGGTGGCCTAGGACATATGTTTCTTTTTCTGTAGTGTGGTTGATAATATTAGCCTACTCCAGGGAGATGGTAAAAACAATAGAAGAAATGCCTTTCTGAGCAGCTATAGCAACCAGTCCCATGGATAAAGGCTTCTAGGGGATTTAGGAGGGGTTGCAGATAGCACAGAAGGAGTGAGATAATAGAAGGAAATTCAGAGAGTACCATGTCCCCTCCTTCCCAAGGTACAATGTGCTGGTTCATCTTTCCCTAACACCTGCTCCTGCATATGTTCTCCTTCTCTGCTGGTCCAGCAGCTTCTCCAACAGTCCTCCCTTGGGTCCTTGGGAGCTATTATTCTGACGTTAAGGGTTTGTAGATTAAAATTTTGCTTGAGAATACCACAATTCTATTTATGCCTTGAAGACCACATAAGGTGTTTGAATGCAATGGCTAAGGAGCCTATCATTAAGAAAATTACAATGCAGAATCTGCCTACTTCACCTTGGGGACTAAACACATTTCTACTCACTTCTTACTTTAATTTTTTAAATGGTGGACAAGGGGCCAGTGTTGTGATGTAGTAGGTAAAGCTGCCACATGAGACATCAGCACGCCAAGTGAATGATATTGGCAATGATTCAAGTTCTGGCTGTTCCAATTCCAAGCTAGATCTTTGCTAATGGCCTGGGGAAAGCAGCAGAAGATGGTCCAAGTGCTTGGGCTCCAGCTTTTCATGTGGAAGACCAAGAAGAAGCTCCTGGTTTTATAAAGATCCAGCCCCAGCCATTAGGACCAAATGGAGAGTGACCCAGTGAATGGGATAGCAGATAGAAGTGCTCACCTGCTCTCTCCCTCCCTCCCTCCCTCCCCTACTTACCCACTACAGGACTTTTAAATAAATATCTTTTAAAAGTAAGCCAAAATAAAATGGTAGACAAGCTTACGAAACCCCAAAGCATTAAAGCAACAGTTGAGATTGGATCATCCTGTCTACATACTTAATTTGCCTTAACAGTGATAAACTAATATCTACCATTTAGCAGTAGAAAAACAAAACACCCTGAGCTCAACACCATAATGTCAGAAATGTAAAAGCAAAAAATATGAATGAAGTCAAAGTTGTATTGGATTAAAAAGAAACTTGCACACAGACTTTATTAGCCCCAATCAATTAAAGAACTTAATAGATAAAGAACTTAAGAATAATTATCTCTATTAAAATGTCTGCCCGCTTCCAGGGAAAACAAATATAGTTTGAAGAGAGTGTATAACAGATATTATAAGTCCCTCCAAAGGATTAGTTTTTCATCACATATATCAGTGTTTCCAAGTTACTAGGAACATACTTAAACAGAAATCACTGTTTAAAAATCAGACCTCTTACCGGTATTTAGATACAAATCTTAAAACATAAAAATATAATAACCAGTCTAATTCTAATTCAAATATATTTTTAATTTATAAAAGCATAAGTTGTGAGGTAGTAATTAAAAGAATGCCCACACACTTCTCAAACCACTTCCCCTATTAACATCCCGTATTAGTATCTTTGTCTGAAGAGTGAATCACACTAAACCTCCTCCACTTGCTTTATCCAAAAACCTTTTATCGCTCCCAGACTCAACATTCTGTGTCCTGATTGAGTTGTTTTGTTTTGTTTTTAATTTTAGCTGCCACATATAAGGGAGAACATGTGGTATTTGTCTTTCTGTGTCTGGTTTATTTCACTCAACACAATGCTCTCCGGTTCCATCCATTTGACAGAAGTTCACTCTTTCTTATCACTGAATAATTTCCAGTATGTATCCATTCTGCTGATAAAGTATACTTAGTTGCTGCGTTTTAGCTGTTGTGAACAATATTGCTGCAAACATGGTGGAACAGGTATCTCTTTGATAGAATAAATTCATATCTTTTGGGTACAAACTCCAGGGTAATCTTGCTAATTCATAGGTTAGGTCAATCTCCTGTCACTTTCCACAGCGGCTGCCCTACTTCACATTCGCACTGACAGTCTATGTGACGTACCTTTCTCCTTGTTACTCTCCATCCTGGTGATGATCATCATTCCAACAGGAGACAGATGCTATCTCATTGTGGTTTGATTTGAATTTCCCTGCTTACTAGTGATACAGAGCATTTCTAAATAAAAATTTATCATATCTGCAATTTGATGAAAATGTTTACCCATAAATACAGATAGATAACAACTCAACCTCTGCCTCTATCAATAAAATTAAGACAAAAATTGCGGTCATCAATCACAAGGTATGACAGTGTTTGGTTTAAAATCATAGTTCTTGAAAATGATTTAACCTGTATGGTTGCAAATTCATTTCCCATTAAACCTTCCAACTACCTGCTTTGTATCACAAACCAGACACCACTATTCCCAGAATATTTCTAAAAATCAGTGATCCCACTGCGATTGGAACTCTTCTCTCTGTTCATTTCAATGTCATTCCTCAATAATTACCAAATTAATGTTCTGTTCACCTCCAAGCCAGTAGTGAAGCACTCCATAAACCAACAGATCAAACGCACCTTGGATTCAGTTCCCTGCTCTCATTCCTTCTCCACCAGGCCCTAAAAAAAAAAAGTACTCAGATCAGGAAAATTATTTCCAGAAGTGAATGTTCAAAAAAGTGTTTTGTGGCTTTCAAATCCACATCAAACGTAAAATTTTGATTGTGCAGTATTAATTAAGCACTTTCATTGCAAGATACTGTTAAATGTGGCAGAGTACTTGTATATATGCAAATCATACAGGAATATATATATAACAAGTCAAATGCAAATACATAAATGTTTGCTATTACAGTACATAGCTGAAAGTGATTACTGTATTAGCACTTTAGCACCCACCTCTACCTATAAAACACAGCTGTCTTTCAGAAAATTAACTCTTTCTTTTTGAATTATTTCCATGGCACAGTAAATTGAGGTGCTTACTTCCCATTAGAATGTCAAAGAAACCAACTTTCCCCATTCTTTCACAGAAGAGCTACAAACTGAGAAAGTCAGCTGCCAGAATTTGTTTTATATATATAAACAGTTCTATGATGGAAAAAGCTGCTGGAATCTTGAACTCCCAGTTATAATGTCTTGACAGAGATGTTCCTTGTCTGGAAACATTTCCAGCCTTCCCAAACAGCCTCAGGTCTTGACTGTTACCAAGTGCTGCTCTCAGCTTTCCAGTAGATTGGCTGAGCACCTGGCAAATTTCCATATCCTCTACTTCTTAAGTTGCCCAAAGTCAATTTTTATTGCTTATAACCAGGAACCCTGATGATAACAGTTACTTAGGAAATAAACCTTAAATAAGGACATACTTTAAATATGCAGTTGCATTCTGGGTAATTAATACATTTGAAAGGATGTATTTTGCTGATCCATGAGTTAAGAGGTTACAGGAAAGTGAACTTTTCAGGCAAAATAGCTGCCCTGAGCTCTTTCCAGGAGAATGACAAGAGCTGAGAAAAAAAAAATTTTTTTAGACTTGTCATGGGTTTGAGAGAGACAAAGGCGCCATAAAGAAGTTTGCAATTACATAGGAAATCTAACCATGATCCAGACTGCAGCAGAGGTTGTTGCAATAGAAAGACAAGTACACATTATTTTCTAAAAAGAGAGAAGTCCAAGATTTCATTATGGAAAAAAAATATAGTACATGGTTTAGATAACTAGATCAGATTAGATAAATACATAGGTGGAACTAAGTAGATGATAGTAAATACACATAGAAATAAAAAAACATAATCCAAGCCTGTTAATATGTTCTAAAGTCTGTTAAAACCAAAATCAGCAATAGTGATGTTCAGCAGGAACTCCAGCAACACAGAAGTCAATCACCTGTTGGTATCAAATTTCACATTATAGCAGCAACTTTAATTCCTCAATGTATGTGTAATTGATTATGTTCACAAGGCTGAGAACATCTGATTGTTCGCCCTGTGTGACCTTTATTAACAGCTCCTAACTATTCTGATTATCCCATATCATCAGGAAATGAGGGGATTTCTGAATTGACGCAAGAGTCTTAACTTAATGTTTCAGTATTTAAGGTCTTTTTATAGACTTATAATACCCATTCTCTCCCTGTGCAGTAAGTCTGATTTAATTATCTCCCAGAAATCAGTAAAGATACTATTTTTGTCTTTGCTTGCCCTTAATCCGTATTTGATTAAAGTACTGCATGCTTAATTGGGGTGTATTTGCCTCAACCTCCTCAATTCTAAATATCAAAGGCAGCCCAAGACACTGGTGTGGTTTTTAACAGTCTCCTTAGACTTAACAGCCTGTTCAGAGATAATCAGTAAATCAGCACAAACCTCAGAATTTCATCTCCTGTGTCTTGAACTGCCACACCTCTGCTCAGCTTCCAAACAGACGTTTCCTTCTGTTTCATAGGTGTTGCCTGAAAGGAAAGAGAACGTATTTTTAGAAATCATGAGGAAGTGGGAAATCTCTTATTCCCCTTTCTAACAGGCTGGGCTCTTTCTCAATCTTGCAGATCTTTGAAAGGCCTTCAAGTGCTATGTGATTGAAGCCCCTGCAGTATTGACAAGAAAGGGCTTGCTGAACTCGAGCATTTGAAAAGGTAAAAGAAAAACATAGGCTCCCTGTCAACACATATTTTAAAAGAACTATAGGCATCATAGTGTTGCTTTTATCAACAAGTGAGCTTTTAAGATTCCAAACTAAAGAGAAAAAGAAAAGGAGAGACATCAGTCCTCTTTCTCCAAGTGGGAGATAATATTATACCAACATTAGCTGCCCACCAGTAGACATTGCCAAGATATCTGCCATACACACACAGGGCAAAATTGCATCACAGACACAGCTGATAAAAAAAGACTGACTAACTTTACCCTCCATATTCATTTCCTAAAATGGGCATAACAAAACACCACTAACTAGATGATTGGAAATTATAGAATTTCTTTCTCCCTTGGATTGTACAAGTCCAAAATCAAGGTGTTTCCAGACATGCCCCATTTCAGAGACCTCTCCTAGCTTCTGTGTCTGCCAGGTGTCCTTGGTCTTTCTGACGTGCAGCTCCATTTCTCCACCCTCTACCACTCTTTTCACATGGCATTCTCTCCGGGTGTTCTCTCTGTGCCCATATTTGTCCTTTTACCTGAAGGCCCACCAGTTTTTTCATTAGGCACACCATAATCCAAGATGATCCAATATTAGCTTTATTACATCTGCAAAATTTCTGTTTACAATTAAGGGTACATTTACAAATACCCAATCTTACAACTTGAACACATCTCCATAGCAGACACAATGCAACATAGAACCATTCCACATTCATCAGCACATTCAATCCTCCCTAATGGATACCTTCATTAATACTTCCTCAACTGTTACCTTTGAAAGTTATTCAAATAAACTAATATGTACAGAGAGGTTCCCAGAGGGTGATTGCTTACAGCATAATTGGACCCATGAAAGTGAGCTGCCACATCTGGTGTTAAATTCTATATAGCTGAGGACAATGTGCTATGGATCTGAAGTTAAAAAGTGCCAAGCAAAAACTATTGACTAAAATAGAACAAAATTTTGCCTTTATATATATACAAGAACGAGATTAGGGTTGGCATTGTGATACAGCGGGTTACATCGTGGCCTGCACTGCCAGCATCCCATAAAGGCATCAGTTCATTTCCTAGCAGTGCCACTTTCAAATCAGCTTGCTGCCAATGACGTGGGAAAAACAACACAGGATGACCCCAGTGCTTAGATGCCTTCCACTCATGTAGAAGACCCAGATAAAACTCTTGGCACCTGGCTTTGGCCTAGCCCAGTCCTGGCTATCATAGACATCTAGAGACTGAATCAGCAGATTCTCTCTCTCTCTCTCTCTCTCTCTCTCTCTCTCTCTCTCTGTGTGTGTGTGTGTGTGTGTGTGTGTATGTGTAACACTGCCTTTCTATTAAGATTTGAAAAGAACAAGGTCAAGATGATTGGCTCTATTCCAAATAGACAACATTGGAGGCAAAGAGTGAATGCAATGAAGAAGGCTTTGTAAAACATCTCTGTTCTGTGATTAAAAAAAAAATCACATTGAATAATTGTTACTTATTCCTGCAGTTCTGAGACTCTTCAAATCTGTTAATACCTAGATTGTAAAAACATTAAGAACATGCTTTCATTTTCAATTTTTTAAAGATTTATTTGATTTTTATTGGAAAGGCATATATACAGAGAGGAGGAGAGACAGAAAGGAAGATCTTTAGTCCAATGATTGACTACCCAGGTGATTGCAATAGCCGGTGCTGTGCCAATCCAAAGTTAGGAGCCAGGAACTTCCTCCAGGTCTCCCACACGGGTGCAGGGTCTAAGGCACTGGGCTGTGGTCGACTGCTTTCCCAGGCCACAAACAGGGAACTGGATGGGAAGTGGAGTTGCCGGGATTAGAACCAGCACCCATATGGGATCCCACTGTGTTCAAGGTGAGGACATTAGCTGCTAGGCCACCGCGCCGGGCCCTTTAATCTTCTTTAACATTCTCTAATGTCCTGTTCTAGCTGTGTCCCTCTCCTATGGGACACATTTCCCACCCTCTCCTGTTTAGCTGCTTTCATTTTTAGATGTGGCTCAAGCATTTTCAGCTTCAGGACCAGTCTCACTAAATGATTATATTGGCCTTTGTTACTTAGTGCCTATCTGAAAATCAGACTGCCCAACTCAGCAATTTGTCTCACGTCTATGAGAAAATGAACTCCACCCAGAGCTGGAACAAGAGCATCCAGTTTTTCCTGTGATCCTGAGACCTTAAGACTGCTGGTAGCTTCAGGCGAGCATCTTGCCCAGGCTGCTACCCCAAAAACCACTGTAGAGTTTGAACCCCCAGTCTATGGGATCCGTCGTGTGTGAAAAGTTGTGAATACTGATACCCACCCCCAATTCCACACCACAGCTAAGCTCCTACAAAAATTCACTTACTTGAAGTTTTTCTAGCTCACAAGAGTTAGAAATAAACCCAGAAAAGGTATACATCTGGATAGATGTATAATGAAAGGAAAGGCAAAGCTATCCAAGTAATGCCATCTCCTTAAAGATCACTATGCCAGGTGTTGGCACTGTGACTCTACTCCCCACAGAGCTTTCTGAAGCAGGTCCACAGATGACACTTTTGTATAACTCGGGTGATGAAGGCAGGAGTCTTGAAGTAACAGACCTGAATAAATATCCCGCTAGGGGGAAAAAAATGTTCACTGAAGGAAAATGAGAAAAATAATAGAAATCTTGGAAAAAGCAATAGCAATACATTATACTCTTGCTCCAATGGCTAACTCCTCATCCCTCAGCCACCCTCTTTTAGATTTTTTTGTTGCTGTTGGAAAAGCAGATATACAGAAAGGAGGAGAGACAGAAGATCTCCCAGCTGATGATTCACTCTTCAAGCGGCTGCAATGGGTGGAGTTACGCTGATCCAAAACCAGGAACCCAGAGCCTCTTCCAGGTCTCCCACACGGGAGCAGCATCCAAAGGCCTTTGGGCTATCCTCAACTGCTTTCCCAGGCCACAAGCAGGAAGCTGGGTGGGAAGCAGAACCCAGAGACCACATGGGATCCTGACGTGTGCAAGGCAAGGACTTTAGCTGCAAGGCTACTGTGCCAGGTCCAGTCACCCTCTTTTGTAACCTGTTACTTCTTTATCCTAAAAGCCAATGAATGCTTTATCAACATCTAAAAACCCAGGTTACAAGGCCGGCTTCCTCTGTCCACAGGAAAGCTACCTAGAAACACTGTCCCCTGCCCTGCTGAGGAGCTGTGTCTTTGCAGAAATATCATCAACTAAAACTCTTTTGAATTTCTAGATGAGAGGAGAACCTTAGCAATACGGATGGACTGAACCCAACCCAACTTTTACATCTACCTCCTTCAGAAACCTCCTCCCTAGTCCCCACAAAAGACATCAGCCAGAACACCTAGACCACTCAGTGGATGCTGTTCAATTTGCAAGATGCCTTAGTCATGCAAAGTCAAGTTTTTTGGTTTTGGGGTTTTTTTAATATTTAGGTGCAGCAAAGCCACTTTATGTCAGACTTGATAGCCACCTCCCTCGACTATCTTGGACACAGTGCTAGGTCTTAATTCCCAATTACTCTCATCATTAGGTATGACTTGTATCTGAATACTAACATGTGGAATTTATTTGTGTAAGATATGTGTAAGACTCGGGCCCAGCGCGGTGGCGCAGTGGTTAAGGTCCTCGCCTAGCACGCCCCAGGATCCCATATGGGCACCAGTTCTAATCCCGGCGGCCCCACTTCCCATCCAGCTCCCTGCCTGTGGCCCAGGAAAGCAGTCGAGGATGGTCCAAGGCTTTGGGACCCTGCACCCGTGTGGGAGACAAGGAAGAGGCTCCTAGCTTTGGATTGACATAGCATCGGCCGTTGCGCTCACTTGGGGAGTGAATCATCGGACGGAAGATCTTCCTCTCTGTCTCTCCTCTCTGTATATCTGCCTTTCCAATAAAAAAAAATAAAAATAAATCTAAAAATAAAAAGAAATGTGTAAGACTCACAGGTCTGACATGTGAAATTTCCATTTTTTGTAAGTCTTGACTTTTCCCCATCCATCAGCTTGATGCAGTAAACAGAACCACACTGGAAACTGCAAGGCAAAGGTGACAGAGCCAGAGACAAATAGAACCCATTACTATGTCACATAAGGAATAGACAATTTACTGTGCTCTAGCCTTTGTATATTCCTTACTCAAATTTGCTACAGCGCTAAATCTACATTAGTTACTACACACTTTCTTACTGAGGAATCCACCATGGCAGTCAGATGCTTTCCTCAACATCTCTGCCCTTGAACATTTTACTGAATATTTTCCTTCTAAAAACATAATAAGTTATGTAAAAATAAAATCTCATCCCTTATGGATGCTAAAGCTTCAATGAATGTCAGACTTCTATAATATTTTTCAATGAAGCACAGCAAGTTCTAGAAGGGGACAAAATTTGGATCTTAATATGGTTTGAGTATGTTGTCAAAAGGTTCAGTATTTGGCAGCTTAGTTCCCAGTTTGGCAATGTTGAGATGCAGTGGGACCTTTATGAGGTGGTGCCTTGTACAGATAATTGGGTCACCAAGGGCACCATCTTTGGAAGGATGAATAGAAGGTCTCAAGACAGTTCCCTCAAAGTGGAGCCACCCTACACGCTTAGTCCCTTCTTGTTGGTTTTCTTCCCATTTCTAGGCTACACATGGCACCCCACAAGAAGTTGAATAAATGAGGCCATACACTCTTAAACTTCAGCCTCCCAAACTGCAGGAACTAAGTTTTCTTTCTCTGAAATGTCCCATCCTGAAATATTTTGTTATGGCAACAGAAAACAAATTAATATATATCCTAATAACACAATATTGTGCCCCCTTGATGCATATCAGCTTACTTTAGTTCTCTGATTCTACATCTTCTCCAAATTTGGGATCATCTATTATCCTAATTAATTGTTAGGATAGAGTTATAAAGAGCAAGATTGTACAGATTAGAACAAACTCTTCAGACAGGGGTAAATAGAAGATGCTCAAAAAAATACAAGTTATTCTTATCATTATTGCTCACATACACTAATATTTACATAATTGTAACCTTTAAGTACAAGAACTGTATCTTTCTACGTGAACATATCACTTCCCATTTAAATGTTTGACCTTCCTGTCAACTTTTTGAGATGAGCTAAAAAGCCTGTATCGTTTAATTAAATCAAATCAAGCATGATGCTGATTTGCCAAACCATGAATTCCTAGATGACATATGGCATGTCTATCTGTAATTGAATGCCTATATTTCAAACAATGATGATTGCTTCACTTGAGGGAAGTCCTCTTGGCATCAAGATTATTATTCACTAACTGTACCCTCCAAAGCACAGTTCATGTCTACAACCTTTTCTTTAGGATCTGCAAGACTGACCTGCACAGAATAAGCCCTGAAGAATAGCAATTAGTCAGTGAATTTTTATATGATATGGAGGTTTGTAATTCTGGTGGTTGGTACTGGTGCGAGTCAGTGGCTATTCTATGGCTAATGCGTATATGAGATTAGATTCCAAATTTAGAGTAACCTAGAATTCCAGTTTCCTACAGTGAATATATGGATCACTCACAACCCACTAGGCATTCATCTAAAACTAACTGATCTTCAGTTTCAATCTGCAACATTAAAGGTAAACACTGCAACCTTCCAAGTTCATCTCCAAAGTTAACATGAAAGTCAACATCATAGTTACCATCATGAAGTGAAGAAACACTATTAATGTTGTGGTTGGTTCTAATACAAAAACCAATGAATCATTGGCACACCTTTTTTTAATCCTTTCCCCTCCCCCAGGGGGAGATCCTGTGTCATACTCCCCATAATATTAACATTATTATCAAGACATATTTTCCACTCTGTATTATACAAGTCAAATCAATTCCATAAATACAAATAGATTTATTGTTAAAATGCTTCATAGAAATATACCAAGAAATGACTAACCATAACCCTAGCCCTAATCCTCTAAGAAATGACTAATTTCTTAGAAAGAGTGTACATTTCACTTAAGACAGTGTTATGTCATATGTAAGTAAGGCTAGTAGATAACAAGTCCCACTTCTCTTAAGATTGTTTCCACAATCAATGGACGCTCAAGCAGCCTTTGAAATAAAAACCAGAAAGCAAGAGGAGAAAGCAGAACAAAAACCTAGATGAGAAAATAGGTTGAAATTAAGTTTTTACATAGCCGGAGGAAATAGTTCAATTATTCTGCATATAAATAATTGTCCTGATTACATATAAAGCTTTGCAGAAGGTACAGTCCAGTTGAAAGAGTCACCAGGAGAGCTGTGGGCTAACAACCAAATAACTCCTCAAAGTTAAATTCACCGTAGGGATCTCTCCCTTGGGCAACACTGAATTCTCCAATTTGTACACTGATGTATCTATGATCTGCACTGACAATTGAATTAATCTCCTGAGTATCTGCACTCAAAAGATTGAGCAATGAACAAGAAAACCAATGTATTTACCTATACCATAACACATAAGTATCCACTCAACTCCATGTGATTTCCAATGTGGTTATGTGACTACATCAGGCTGATGGATGTGGAAAGAGCAAGGATTACAGAAAAAAAAAAAAGTTTCAGAGAATCAAGATAGCAAAATAGGGTAAAGACACACTTAAACAGATGGAGAAATATCAGCCAGTGTGAAGCAGAGAGGGCACATTCCAGGAAATAGGAGAGGACATAGTGACAGCAGAGGGGCACCTGCAGACTGAAGACATGGGAAAGCAGTGGACACATTGGTGTGGTGTTGCAATGACCCATACTCCAGTGACATTCAGCAAGCAGTGATCTGAATTGCACCAACAGCCAGAACTGCACCAGTAACCAGGTGGGAACAGGTGATCACTGCTGGCAGGTTCCAGACGTGAAATGCAGGAACAGAGTAGAAGTCACAGCCCAGTCCACCCCCAAGAGCTGAATTGGGTGCCATTTTGTCTAGAGAGATAAAGGCTACAGCTCAGGACTGCACATGCACTGAGCTGGGAGTGAACTCATTTCTGGCTCATTGAACTGCAACAATGTGGCATCCTAAAGGTTCTCCCAAGATAGGTCCAAGTAGACCTCAGACCTGATGGTCAGTAGATCAAGAATTCTACTTAATGGAACATCAGGTGCCATTTTGTACAGTGTAGCAAAAGCTTCAAGACTTCAGGGACACATGCACTAAGCTGGGAGCAAGCCCACTGTGCTCAGTGGATTGTACTGGTCCCACAGGGAAAATAATACCAATTTTGGCATCATACAGATGAAAATAGGTCCGTGTGGCCCTCAGACCTAACAGCATCACCAACAATCTAGCTATATAGAACACCTGGTGTCTCCCTAATCCTGGGACCTGCTCCAAACCGAAAGTGGGAGAATGGTTGTATGCACAAATGTGCAGCCTCAGCACGGTATCACAGGAGGTGGTGACTGGTGAGTCAAGAGCTGGAGCTATGGAGATCATACTGAAAATCTAACATAAGAACCCAGACCTGGAACTCGCTAGAGGGAGTGGCACAACTGACTGCAGACAAAGAGCTGTGTACCAATTGCAATAAGTAAAATCAAACTGCAGACCTGTGGGTGACAGAGTTTAGAAACCTGCCCCATGGAGAAGACTCTGCTGACCAGAAGTACAATAACCAAGAGCAAAGAAAAGGCACAATGAATATTACTGAAGACTCCCCTGCAAAGGAGCAAAACCCTTTACCAACCTCACAGTTAGCTGAGGAAGACATTGAGAAAATGGGGGATACAGAATTCAAAACACTTGTTATAAAGTTTCTTATCAACAACCAGAAGCATGTAATAATACAGAGTTCGAGGAATTTAAGGAGCATGTCACACAGGAAATGAATCACATGAAAGCTGAAATATCAGAAATGAAGAACACAGCGGAGCAAATTAAAAGTACAGTGGAGAATCTCCAAAACAGAATGAAGGAAGTGGAAGAAAGAATCTAAGAATTGGAAGATAGTTCCTGTCACCAGGGGGAAGCAAACAAAAAGCTGGAAGCAGAGCTGGGTCAAGCTAAAAAAAAAAAAAAAAAAGTATCAAAGAACTGAAAGACACTATTAAAAGGCCAAGTATAAGAGCTATGGGAGTCCCAGAAGGTGAAGACAGAGAAGTTGGGTTTACAAGTGTGTTTAAAAAGAGCTTGATTGTATATAGCCAGTTTAGCCTATGTCTTGTTTTTCTGCTTCCAACCTTCACCTCTCCTTCATTTCCCCACCCAGGCCTGAATATTCCATTCTTTCTCTTTCTTAATAAAATTGCTACTGTTCTTGACCTTTCTGCTGATGGCATGTGAGATATGTTATTTCTCAGTTGAATCTTGCTGCCATTTTATTTATGTCTCCTCTGTCTATAGGAATTAAGTGACATTTCCCCCAAAAAAATACTTGTCCTGCTTTACATTCGAATATTCTTTACTCAATGCTCCAAATGGGTATTCAAATTTTATTTAATAGTAAAATATTTTAGCACTAAACATTAATCTCATAAATGTAAATTCTTTGCCAAAGTAAAAGTCTGGAATGCTATATTCTGTAACTAACACAGCAACTAATATTTGAGACAGGGAGACTGTTGAAAGAACAACAGATGGACCAGCACGATGGCAGCACAGCTTAAGGTACTGCCTGAAATGCTGGCATTCCACAGGAGTGCCTATCTGAGTCCCCGCTGCTCTGCTTCATATCCCACGCCCTTAGGAAGTGTCTGGAAAAGCAGTGCAGGACGGCAAAGCGCTTGGGCCTACACCCAAGTGGGATACTCAGAAAAGGCTCTTGACTCTTGGCTTTGGCCTGGTCCAACCCCAGCCATCATGGACATTTCAAGAGTGAACCAGCAGATGGAAGACTCTCTCTCACTCTCTGCCTCTCCATCCCTCCCTCCCTTCTTGTAACTCTGTTTTTCAAATAAATAAAAATATGTTTTAAACAGTGAACAATGTATTGGTCTTCAGAATATGGATTCTTTTTTTTTAATTTATTTTATATATTTGAAAGGCTGAGTTACAGAGAAAGGAGAGAGCGAAAGATCTTCCACCACAACTGTCCTCAGAAACTGGGTTCTTGACCCTGTTTGACCACAGTAGCACAATCAATCTTTTTCTGGGTTGTGGCATACTTTTTAGCCTCAGTTCATTATCTAAAAATAGGAAGAACTAGTGAGATGGCTTCTAGCATTCCTTTCAGATCTGTTTATGATTTAAAGATACTGGCAAGATACAATATGAAGTAAACCTACTAAGAAGATAGGGAAAGGAAAAGAGCTACACATGATTCAGTCTTTATCAAGTTCTAGGCACTCTGAACATTCCATCTCACTCAATCCTTATACCCACTCTGAAATCAGATCCTATTATCATCAGCCATTTCATAGGTAAAGGAATTCAGATCTGGAGATATTACATTGATTTGTTCAATGTAATTAGCTGAATTATTGTGTATTCAAAATTAATGTTCAACCACCAATCCCAATTTATTGGTACTTAGAGATACAGAACTTTGGAGGTGACAGATTTAGAAGTGGTGGGGTCTCCATGATTCAATTAGCATCCTTATAAATGCAGGATATTTTCTCTCCCTTGGTCATAAGATACAGCCACCTACAGGGCCCGGCACAGTGGCCTAGCAGCTAAAGTCCTCACCTTAAAATTTCGGGATCCCATAAGGGCACTGGTTTTAATCCCAGCACCCAACTCCCCACCAGCTCCATGCTTTTGGCCTGGGAAAGCACCTGAGGATGGCCCAAAGCCTTGGGACCCTGCACCCACGTGGGAGACCCAGAAGAGGCTCTGAGCTCCTGGCTTCAAATTGACATAGTTCCAGCCATTGCAACCACTTGAGGAGTGAATCATCAGATGGAAGATTTGCCTCTCTTGCCTACTCTCTGTATATCTGACTTTGCAATAAAAAGAAATAAAAGATAGATAGATAGATAGATAGATAGATAGATAGATAGATAGATAGATAGATAGAACCACCTACAAAGGAGGAAGAGTCCTAACCAGGAACAAAATTGTCTACCACCTTGATCCTAGACTTTCAATCCTCCAGACTGGTGATAAATGAATGTCTGTTGCTTAAGCCATCCAAACTATATATGATATTCAGTTACAGTGACCTGAACCATTATGTTTCTTAGGGGGCTTTGCAACCAGAGAAGTGCTCAATCCCCAACCTCTGGGAAAATCACATAGACATGTGGTCCAACCCCAGAACACATATTGAAGAACTGAGCCACCCCAGTTGCTGAGAGCCAGAGTAGAGAGCATACTCAGATGACCATAAGAGACAAGACAGCCAGTTCATCTAAACCAACAGAAGACTTTAAGTGCAGCATCAAAAGATGGAAAACACAGTTTGAACAACACTCCAGGTCAGGCTCTACAGCAAGCACTTAGGTCTGTGGACACACTGAATATAGACAAGATCAGCAGACAGGTATTACAAAGAATTCCTCACCTCCAGTGTAACAGAGTAGGCAGATTCTCGGAACAATCAAGACCACACAAGTAGCACCCTTGAGATATTCTTTCCCACTCAGGATCTAAAAGACAACATGAAACAACAGTCTCCTTCCCTGAGCAATGATCCTGTATTCTGACAGCAAGGAGCAAATCACTTTTTCCCTCACTCCCCCCTCCCTCAGTGCTTCCTTCATTCTGCAGACACAGGAGGACACACCAAAACATTTATCTCACCCACCTCACTGCCCTCCTACCCTTACCCTCTCCATCCTAATCAGATACCACAAGGGTCTTCAATCCCCTTTGTAATAGACAGTAAGATATATTTTTTAAAAATTGTAAAAGATGTTCAGCATAGAATCCAAAGGAAATTGTACCAAAATGCTTAAAGAAAGTAACCACATTCCAGTCTGCCAAAAGTTAGCAGTCCCAGTTTATGAGTGCTGCCATTCTAAGAGCAGGATCAGAAATTAACTGTGTCCAAGTCAACCCTACCAATAAATGCCTGGCAAGTGACCCAGTCGGTCTGAATTAAAGGACAGGCAATTTAAAGCCACTCTGTTCCAAAGTATTTCAGTGGCCCAAGAGCTAGCAAAGCTGAATGCCTACTCAGCAACTCTTTAAAAATCCATTCTTCTGGATTAAGCACTGCTCTGCTCTGTTACTTTTTTTTTTCACTTACAAATTCCACTGGGGTAAGAGGTAGAAGTTTATTACTCCCAGCTGAACCTCAAGGCAAGACAGCACCAGAAGCCCATTGAGGGGGTGGGTTTTGCAAGTGGAGAACTGACAAAAAGAGAAGGGAGAAGGAGGAAGATGGGGGCAAACTTCCCCCTTGTTGAGTCTTAGCCTAGAGAGGAAGGAGTCTGCTCTTTCCTTAAACCATTATTTATAGCTTTCAGCCTCCTAAATGAGATGTCACCGCTCACTTGGGATGGTCTCTAGAAACAGCAGGGAGGGGGTCATGGTGGTGACATGACTATAGCAGATAATGGCAATTGGAGTTGCAGTGGCAACCAAAGGCTTGTTCAGAGTGGATTCTGCTCTGCTTTAATGGCATCTGTTTCTAGCCTTTAGATCTGCTGACACTGCTCCTCCAGAAACCCAGCCAGTGGCTGGCTTTTCACCCATTCAAGCTCCAGCCCTAGTGAGAAGCCTGCACTGAGTTCAAGCAGAAAATTAGAATTTCCCCTTCCTGCTTCAAGGGAAACAACAAAATCCCCTTCTCTCACAGGAGCAATTTTGCCTGAATTTCACCTTGAGCAGCATCATATTCCAGGATCCCGCCTCCATCTCAGTAAGAAATACGCTGCAGTGAGAAAGAAATGACTGCACTTGTCCTCATTGGCTGGGGCAACATTGTCACTCCATCTGCCACTTCACATGCTAAGTGCTAAGGGTGGCAGCCATTTCTAGGAAATCACAGGCAATTTTTATCATGCATACTTTACATTTCAGCTTCCACTGAGCACCTCTGTGGCAGGGACTATGCGTCACAAATCTCAATACCTTGAATGTGTCTGTGCTGAATAAATCAGGCCATCCCAAAAGCTTCATCAGGAATAGCCAGATAATGAAGGTGTCACAATGGGGCAGCTTTTCTCATGACAATTCCCTTTAACCCATTGCTGACATCACCAAAGGGTTTCATTTCAGCTTCTTCAGTCCCATCTTGTGAACAAGATTTGTTGTCCAAGATTGGCCTGGGAAAAGGAAAGTATGAAAATGAGATCATGGGTTTCACGAAATCCCGCTGTCCCAAAACACAATGAGCTGCTTCTGGCAACAATACCGGCCCAACAGGAAGGCCAGCGGCTGAGAAACCGTGCCAAGCCTTCAAGTGAGCCCTCGGTGTTGAAAGATTATTGTGTGTGTAAAAGTCCCACAGTAGAACAGTGAAAAAATTTAGGAAACATCCCAGAAACAGTACTTACGGGATGATTGCTGACTTTCTGCAATCTGGTCTCCATTTGCATTAAGCAAAGAGAAATTGCAAACATGCTGCTGCCCTTTCCCCCTCACCCACCCGAAGCCATGCAAGGTTCCAGTTCCTGCCGCAGACAGACTCCTCACACTTCCTTCCTGAGCGGCAGCTCTCTCAGCACCTTCTGCTCTACACAGAAGGGGCTGGCAAACAGGAAGCTCTGGGGCTGTGGAGGGGGACGGGGGAAAGTAACAGCAGAGTTCTGGCCATGTGGCCACTGTGGGGTACCAGTCCTGGTGTGAAATGCCACACAGGGACAGAGGGAGAGCTTCTGCACTCCCTTGGAGGGACCTCTGTCCACCATACTCATGTACTGCTAAGAACAGTAGCCCAGAACAAGACATGCTAAAGACCAAGAATTTTACAGAAAAAAAGCCAGGACTGGAATCTGGGTCTCCTAGTGACTCCCTCCCTGAAACTCCTCACTGTGTTGCAGACTGATGAGTTGAGAGGAGAAAGGAAGTACAGAAGACCTTGAGGTAGAAGAGTTTGGCAACCTCTATCCTTAGTGCTTTTCTGAAGCAGAAGTGGTACAGTTTTATCTGCTTGCTGTCCCTTATCCAGCACAGGACATCTGGTCAATGGTGCAGAGATATGGCCTGATTGCATCATGCCTTGTGAGTGCTATGAAGCAGTAGCAATTCTCAGCTCATCCCCCGGGTACAGAGGAAGAGCCTTCTGGAGGCCAGCACCTCTCCCCTACAGCCTGGTGCTGCAGTGGAACCATGTGAAAACTTGAAAAGAGGAAGCTGTGGTCCAGCGTGGCAAACAATATACAGAGCTGCAGGGTCAGTAGAGCACGCTAGTCTAAAGTTTGCTGTCCTGCCATTGTTACTGCCACAGCTGCTGTTAAAAGAGATATTTCATCTCTTGGTTCATGCCTTCAAATAGCTACAATATCCAGGGCTAGAACAGACTGAAGCCAGGAGCCTGGACTCCATTTAAGTCACATGGGTGACAGGGATTCAAGCGTGGGGCACAGCAGGTAGCTAAACCAGAAATAGAGCAGCAAACCAGGACTTGGATGAGTACTCACGTAAAATGCTAGCCTTACAGGCCAAGGCTTAACATATTGAACACAGAGCCATCTCCTGAACTGCATGGATTTTTATTTCACATCTGCTAAGATTTGTCCCCATGAAAATTCATGTTTTCATGTTACAACTTAGTTTTCCCTGCGGTAGTGGTAGAAAGCAGGGTCCAATGGAGAGGTATTTGGTTTATGGGCAAAAAGACCTCATAAATGAAGTAATATCTTCCATGTGTAAGACCTCAGCATTTTTGCAGAGGTATGCAAGGGTGAGTTCCTTGCCAGCTGCAGGCAACTACATAGGTTACAGTGTACCTAATATTACACTACTGAGAGAAAAGCAGCTAATAGCTGGGCCTGGCTAATGTCAAATTTGTGTTAACGATACCAGCATGCCATCAGAGTTGTCTAGTCTTTTTTTTTTTTAAAGATATGCGGGGACAGACACCAGCACACCAGCAAATGGGGGCTAAGGACCCATGGCTGAGCATATGTAGGCCCTGGGAAAAGCAGACAGAAACCCAGGGCACATGACATACTACCAGAGGACTGGGTTCAGGGATCTGTATGCTTGCAGACATCGGAGCTGTGGATTGCGCAGGGAACAGTGACTGGTGATGTGTGGGAGGAGGGAATACTGCTGAGGGAAAGAATGTGACAGGGGAGGAATGACTTCTGGGGAACTTTCACCAACCAGGCTACTGCACTTAGTTAAATGAGGAGGCTGAGATCAGGCGGTTTGGAGAAAGAAACAGGGCTGGGAACAGATTCTGTGGAGGATTTGTGGGCTCAACCCTGTAGGACTGCCATACTAGTTGGTTTGCTCAAAAACTGGAGATGGTGGTTGGGCTAAGCTAGGCACGACCATGGAACTCATCAATACTTATGGGTACTGGAGTTGGGAACAGGGTAGGCTAATCCAGGACACAGCACCCACAGGCACATCCAAGAATTGGGTGTGGGGCAGGCTCAGCCACAACATCCACCAGCATACACAAAGGCCAACACTGAGGGGCAGACTATGCTGGATAAAAGCTTAATATAGGCTGACATGCATAAGATCTGGGTCTGGGATTGGGCCTAGTAGGGGAATTTGGGAACTCCCCTGGTGGGCTCTAGTTCCCGCTAGTGAGTATTTGAATTGGCTGAGTGTTGTTCAGGCTTGGCAAGGCTGCTTCATTTGTTGACAGGTTTGTAGGTTGGCTCAAGGGGTTGGGGTTGGGGTAGACTGGGCAGGAATAGGCCAAACTATAGCACACTGGCACATACATGGTGCCAGGATGGGGTCCAGGCCATGCTGGACTAGGCTAGGTTATCATACCTACCAGTTTTCATGAAAGCCAGTGATGGAGGCAGGCCAGGCAGGGCTAGTCTGACCAACCTCCAGTGAAAGTTGGGACTGGGAGCAGGCCAGACCAGGTCAGGCTGTAGCATATGATAGAAAAGGTCAAACCAGGTGATAGTTTATGCTGGGCTGAGTTGGAGCAACCACCAGCATGTGTAAGATCTGTGGCTGGGAACAGGTCTGGTTAGAGAGCTAAGGGGACACTTCAACTTGGCAGTGGTTCCCACTGTTGAGTGCAAGAGCTGGAATGGGGGTGGCATCACTCAGCATGGGTATGGACTGGGTCTGGGGTGTACCAGATTGGGCCAGGCTCTAGCACCCGCTAGTGCTCATGAGAGCCAGGTTAGGTATGGTACAGGCTGGGCTAAGTCTCAGCAACTGCTGAACCACGCAAGAGCTGGGTCTGGGAGTGTGAAATGCAGGGCTGGGCTGTAGCATACAACAATAAGAGCCTGAATGGGTGTGGGCTGGTTGAACAAGGCCACTATACCTGCAGAACAGGAGTTGGGCCAAGTCACAATCGGCTAAGATATCTTGTATGCAAGATCTATGATGGGGAGGTCACAGTAGTTTATGGCTCTCTTCTGTCAGGATGCAGTACCTGCTGCTGAGTACAAGAATCCATGTTGGGAGCAGCCCAGATCAGGCCAGGTTACAGTACCCACTGACATACATGTGGGTCAGGTCTGGGGGTAGGTCAGGCTGTGCCAGTTCTTAACACCCACTGGCAGATATAAGAATCAGGATGCAGTGCAAGACAGGCCCAGGTTGGGCCACAACACCAGCCAGTTCACATTAAGGCTGGACTGGGGTTGGTTAGGCTGAGTTAGGCTGCAGCACCCACCAGTATAAGCTGGAATTGAGGGCAGACCGGGCTGAGCCAGACTGCAGCAACCACCAATGAATGTGGGCTGGACAATAGAGTTGGTTGGGCTGAGCTAAGCTCCAACCCCCATTGATGTGTATGAGAGACAAATGGGATGTAGGATAGGCTGGACCAGTTTGCTGCATATACAGGCATGTGCAGAAACAAAGGCTGGGGTAAGGTCTGGTGGGAGTTTCTGGGGGTCACTATGACCAGGCAGCAATTCCTGCTGGTGTGTGCGAGCACCAAAGTGTGAGGTGGGAAGGGTTAGGCTGGGCCACAGCATTCACTGGTTTGCATATGAGATGGGACTGGGAACATAACTGACAAGATGATTGCAACCACCAGTGTTTCTGTAGGCTGATGTGGGTGATGGAGTGAGCCAGATCCTACACTAGCTGGTAAACATAGGAGTCAGGTCTGGGATCACCCTGGTGAGGTTTCTTTGGGCATTACCCCCTAAACTGGACCATTGGACTAAGACCTCCAACCACAGGGAAAAGTCACAGGATCTGTGATCTGATCATGGAGGGCACATGTCAGAACTGGGCATCCTCGGTTGTTGAAGCCTGTGCAGCAAGCAACATGCCCAAATGTACATGGGGGACACTACAACCATTTCCAGGAAGCCTGCAGAAGACATCTAGTGCCATTGAGGGCAGAACAAATTGGATACAAGCTTTGACAGTGAATATCTGGGTGAATCAAGACTCTATGATGGACTATATCAGCAAATGGGTCTTGGGAAGATTTCCTCAACCTTGGAACAACAAAATCAATATCAAAAACGCTTGAACAGTGCCCTCAGAATATGCTCCACACCAGAGACCTGGGATAAGATTTGGTGGTGCTCCATCCCTGGGTACTGATGCAGTTGGAATACTGGAAGAGGCCCTCACCTCTTTCTCCCCACTTTCCCCAGGTACAGGAAGCAAAAAGGAGATTAGTAGCAACAGTTTTCTCATCCACTTTCCCCCATTCATCAACCCTCCCCACCCTAATCAGTGGTCCACATGGGCATGTATCCTTCTCAACTACGAAAACATCATCAAAAATAAAATAAATTTATTATAACATTTAAAAAGAATGAGTTTCCATAATGAGTCCAGCTTCCTCAACTTTCACTTGCTTCTCTCTTTCACACACACTTGCTTACCGATTCACTCTCTGCCATGAGCTGAGGCAGCATGAAGCTGTTACCAAAAGCTGTGCAGATAGCAGCACTCTATCTTTGGACATGCCAGCCTCCAGAATGAAATGAAACCTCTTTCCTGTGTACATTTCCCAGTCTAGGTTTCCTATTATGTTATCAGAAAATGAACTAAGACAGCATCAAAGAGAAATCCATCCAGGATTAGATGTATAACGAACGTTTGATGTCTGCAGTGAAGATGATGATGGGTCTGTCTTATGAAAGTCTCCAGAGCACATCTCTGAAATTGGCTATAGAGAATTCCCGGTGAGCTACAGTGTGGGATGCAGGAAATATGGGTAGTACAGTCCTGATAACTGGTTTTCTCTGGTGTTATCAGATAAAAGTTTACTATTTCCTCACTCTCAGGACATTGAATATGGTGGCAGAAGAGACTCAGATGCCAAAAGATACTTGCTTCACGGAGAACTACTTGTTGGCAAAGAGAAACATTTTTTGCTTTCCATACAGGGAGCCCAACCATTCAACAAATCCAGGGGTAAATGGACAAGCTGGAGAAGAAAGACCACAAAGCCTTTATGAAGACAGGGGCTACTGGGTTC